TGGTCACCGGTCGTTGTCTGACATTTGTAGACGGATTTGAGACCCCCCACTCCACCCCCCCTCCTTCCACCTCTCCCCCCTTCCCTCCCCCGTGGCTCTCGGGGAAATAAAAGTAGCCTAATCCTGCCAGATCAAGACTGCTGTCCACCACAGCTTTACCAGCCTGTGAATCAGAGCCAGCTCTCATGTCCCAGAGTGGAGTGTGTGTGTGTGTGTGTGTGGGGGGGGGGGGGGGGGGGTGGACTGTTTGTGAAGCTGCATTAACTCTTTGCTGGGCAAAAGCAGAAAAAAATATGCTTTTTTTTTAAAATTTTTAAGTGATTCTTAAGAAATATCTAAAATTAAATTATTCAATTACATTTTTTTCTCGATTTTTTTTTTCTTCTGCACTTCGTTCTAGATAAAATAAAAAATGTCGATAGAACGAGAATCTAAAAAGTTCAACAGTAATTTTCAAAACAGACAATAAACCACACACATATAAAGTAACGAATTGCACGAGTTCGCCCCTTTCTCGGCGGTTGCCTTAAAGAGACACAAATTAATAATCGAAAAACATATTGGTTGTTTTTTTGCTCGGGCGTTGTACTTTTTCTTCGCCTTCACAAATAGTTTAAAGTTCATTTTTCTTGTTGGGGTGAATCAGACACAGCGAGCCTGCAGACTCCGGCGTTTTTCCTCGTTTCTGCTCTTTCGCTTACCGGAAAGCGTTCTTTTCTCTGCTGGAGCTCCGACACTCAGCTCAGTGTGAAGGACTCAACACTTGCTGTCTCTTCTCTCCTCCCTGTCTCTTATTGTGCTGCACTTTCCACAGTCCACCTACACCCCCCCTCCCCCCAGGTCTCCCTCTTCACGGTGTATAATCATCCCTGCTCTGTGTTCCCTCTGCGCTCTTCATTACAAGACATCATCACAGTTTACCTCCAGTGTTTGCTTCCTCTTCTCAGACCGTAACTCAACAGGAATAAATTCTTTGGCGTTAGCGACGCGTTAGAGTACGTGACGATTTAAAAAAAAAAAAAAAGATGCGAAAATGGAACTGAAAGAAGAAAAGAGTTGAATCAAAGAATGTATTAAAGTTTGTAACATGAGATACTTTTACTTTCTTTAAGTGACAAAACATTGTGTGTAATGCAGGTAACTATATTACATTTAAACACGTTTAAATAACTGCATCAATGGACTACAACTTTTCAATAGCAAGTGACAGCGGTGAGTCACTGCAATAACTGTTTTAAGTTGAGGAGCAAGAAAAAAGCATTTCTTGAAAACTAAATCCATTTTTCACCTTCGTAAAAAACAGATACCTAGTTAGTTGTTAGATTAGCAGAAGCCAAAAGGCCCATTTGCCCACAGAAGGTCAGAGCTGCCGGACGCAGCCCGTAGCTCTAATCGGTAACTTCTGCTGCGGCAGGTTTCCATTGTCTAAAGGTCAGTCAGAAACCGAGCGTTAGCCTCGGAGAGTTGTTAGCATAAACGAGGGAGGGGACTCAGGAGGAACCCAAGGACTAAAGTACAAAAACGAGGACAGAAAGGAGCGTGAGTGGTGACAAAACCCAAGCATGCTTTGTGATGTCAGGAGTGTGTGTGTGTGTGTGTGTGTGTGTGTGTGTGTGTGTGTGGGGTGCTTGTGAAAGTTCACTGAAAGCTGGGTTTGGTTTTTGAGCAGCTCTCCTCGGGAGGGTTAGCTCAGGCTGGAGTGAGTGGAGGCGAAAGAGGAGGTGGGGATCTTAGTGAGACACCAAAGAAGGGGAGAAGAGGAGAGCGAGC